CCACCCCCCTACCCGATACCTGGAGGGATCTTTTGGCAGAGCCAGAGCCCACACCATGCCTGGAGGTGGCTGCTGGATCACGGACGAGCGAGTCGCTTTGGCACGAATGCTATGCTCCTTGGTCATTGGTACAGGTAGCGGGATGAACGCTCGCATCTACAAGGCATCATCACTGATGCCCGCAAAACGTCGAACTCTCTTCTAAGGATATTGTGCGGCGTGGCATTAGGAAGTGGACAGGAGGACACACTCCTCTGGACCAGGTGCAATTCTGTCTTGCGTGTTGCAGATGTGCGGAGTTAGGCGTGATCCCGGGCGGGTCAGTGAGTGTGTAGATGAAGGTCGTGAAGTCCTACGTCGCGGCTCGTGGAGAGGACGCCTGGGAAAGCGAACAGGCTCTACGCTAAGCCCTGAGACCCAGCTGAGAGTTGTGTGAGCTGCTGTTAGGTGATCAGCGTCAAAGACGTCATGGATGCGGTGCCAGGCTGGCGAAGCAACAAGCTTTCTACTGTTCTCCTTGTTGTCAGGTTTGTTTACCACTACTGTTATGGTCTTATTGCTGTTCGTAGCACTGTGATACTTACTGCCCTTTGCTGGGAAGGTGTTGTTTCCTCCTGTGTTCCGCCTGTGTGCTAGGACTGGACAGGGCCCAGGCCGAAGCAGAAATGACATCGGCCTTAGAGGAGTACGCCCAGGCAAGGACCGGGGCTACTGCGGACTCGTTCGAGAGAGCAGTATGTACGTATGTGTGTGTATAGAAAAAATATATATGTACATGATATTGTATGTACATATATATAGATATAGATATAGATATAGATTTAGATATAGATATAGATATAGATATAGATACACTACATAATATACGGTATATATATAGTATACAACAAGCAATGCCAGGAGAATGCTCCGCACATCGAGCTTACCGAGGCCCAATTTTTGCTCCGTGACAGAGGCAAGAGAGGGAGTCTGAACCTGAAATTGCAAGGTGATCTCCACCATGGGGAAGTATCTGGCCCCCAGCTGAGCAACCCGGGTGTCTCTCTTCTTGTCCTCAGCATGGGATCTGCGGCTGCAGGCTCCCAAGGCAGAGGTGCCGGAGTCGCCCCTCCGAAGCGTCCTGGATGTCACCAGGCCAGGTGCCCCTTGGAGAGCCGAGATGAGCAAAATCTCCCTGTGCTTTTTTGAGGTGTGCAGAAGCCGTCGCTCCGAACGAGAACGTTTCCGAAGCTGCACAAGAGCTGGTGAAAGCAGGCCCAGACTTTTAAACGCAGCCTGTCCCGGTTCTCCCTGGGCACGAAAGTGAGATACTGCTGGTGTGACACGAGAAATGCGGCTTGCACGTCTTTGTTGCTGCAGGACTATCTGTCGAAGTCCTCCTACGCGCTGCAGGTATCATCCTCGATGCGCTGCTGCACTGGGTTAGGTCTCGGGTTCAGGGACGTCGGGATTTCAATAAACAGGGGTCTCTTGTTGATGTCATTCATAAGGATTCTAGTATTTAACAATTTAACGTTTACATCAGAGCCTACCCATTTTCTGAGACTGCCATGTGGAGCGCAGGGCCAACTGGAGTTGTTGGTTTGGCTTCTTGCATCATCGTCACCACACTTGTTCCAGGTGCAGCCGCCGTGTTAAGTCGTTCCATCGTGTGGTGTCTGGTGCAGGTGTTCCCCAAGCCTTATCCTAAAAGCCCGAACCCGAGACTTCCTGAGCCCCAGACTCTGCGTCGACTCCACATGACTCCACTGATCTAAGGACAACGGTGCGCAGCGGTCAGACAATGGCAACTTGCCATGCTTCGACCCTCCAAAAATTCGAAAATCTTCTAAAGCCGACAATCCTCGAACCCAAAGGGCCCCAAAAAGCCCTAACAAGCCTGGTCGTTACTAGAAATGATCACTCCAACAAGCAAGGCAAAGCACAAGTCTCTGCATTGCGCCACGTCGTTTCCTCCGCGGAGATCCTTTGCAGCGAAGACAAGACCATTATGATGCTCGGCCCTCAGCGCAGCACCAGCTTGACAGGGTTCTGACTACTACTGAATACTACATAGTACTACGACTCTCGCTTCTTAGTATGTGCAGTGCGATTCACGCCGCTACTGTTTCTTACCCCGCTGCTTTATGTACTTACACAGGGCTGGCCGAAAGGCAGCAGGCTGAGAGAGGGAGAGGGAGAGTGTCGAATGCCTCTGAATGGAATGCAGGTGCCAACTTTGATTGTCAGCGTGCGGCTCGCCACGGGCCAAATGGGACTGTAGTTGCAATTCGAAGCCTTTACCGAAGGGCGTCTGTGCAGTCTTTTTGCACCTTTTTGCACCACACATCGAGCTTTTAATGCTCCGCAGCTGTCCGGGTGCGGGATTTGGCAACCACCTCAGCTGGGGAATCCAATATATGAGTCGCATGCTTGTCGACATTTTATCGTCTCCGTCTTGTGAGGATTTCTCAGTTGAGGAGGTTGAGGTTGTTATGCACAAACAAATTGCCCCTCTCCCCCGTTTTACTCTCCCGACTAGCTGCCGAGCACACACAGGAATTCAGTGCATCACTAGCGAAGGAGTAAGAAACGGCAACTTGGTAATGAGACGCTGCATCTTCTCTAAGAGAAGAGACGCAGAAGTGGTGGCCCCGCAACGCAAAATGCCTCAGATGGGGCAGCAAGTCTAGCTTCAAAAACCTGCACAGAGCCCTTGGGTAAGAGCTGCGAGAGACCTGTTTTGGGCTCTGCCTTTCTCGTGGACATGACAGCATTGGTCTGTGCACCAGCTTGGCTCATAAATCAGCAAGATTCCGAAACTCTGGCAAACATGCAGCTAGCGTCGCGTTGTTGAGCATGATTCATCGCTTGACCATTGTATCCCTTAAGCTTAGGCAGCCGTGATTGATCTGCGTTTTTCTTTCAAGGCCTGTGTAAGCATGGCCCGCAGTTCTTGCGGACATGGACCGCGATGGACAGGACTTCTGGAGACTACCACTGAGAGAAGAGACATGCTCGGGGGCATATGACTCTCAGGCTCACTTCACAGGGTAGGCGTCTTGGTTCAACGCTGTCCACCGCTTTCTCCTCTGCATGTATCTTCAGCCTACGGGTTTCGCACGCTTTTTGCTTGTGATTGTTGCGATAAGTGTCGTGACTATCATTTTCCCATCAGGCTTCGAGTATGTTCAAGTAGTATATACCTGTTACTCACACTAATACTCCCGTCTCCTTGAACCGCAAATCCAAATTTTGGGTACTTGGATGCTTAGGCTAGTAGCGTTGTGGTTGGTATTACGTGCATAAGAATGAGTCCCGAAAGATCCCTTAACCCTAGCTCCTGACTTCCTTTGTGCATAAGTGTACTCGTATCAAGTTATTATGAATGCTGTTGGTATCATTGTTCCGAAAACTCCTAGACTGCATTATTACCGTGATCATTACGATTGCTGTTATTGACTTCATTAGTTTTTTCATCTGTGTTGTTATCAGCAATTATTTATGTTAGGAGTACTAATACTTCATGTTGTTCGTGCGTGTGCTGCTATTTATACCGGATTACATACGTATATAGCTGGGGTTTAGGAACCCTGTTCCCTGAACCCTACACCCTAAACCCCTAAACCCGAAACCCCAAACCCCAAAACCCTAAAACCCTAAACCCTAAACCCTAAAAGCCAAAGCTAGTGAGGTTCGCCTCCTGCGCCCGGCGGAGATCGAAGAGCTTTCTGAGCTTCCTGGCGTCTCTGAGCCTGCTCTGCCAAGCTGCTGCCGCTGATGTGCCGAAAGGTCTCGGAGGGTTCAGGGTTACTCCGGGGGCCTTCTTTTTTTTGGGGGGTTACTCCGGGGCCTTCTTTTTCGGGGGGTTACTCCGGGGCCTTCTTTTTTGGGGGGTTACTCCGGGGCCTTTCTTTTTTTGGGGGGTGGGCTGTGGGGGGCCTCTTGGGGGGCTTTGTGTAAGGCACCTGAAGGGTTGCATCCGGACCGACTCCGGGTTCGGAGGCTTTCCTGGGGTTGTAGGGAGATTTGATCTTAGTTTCTTTTTTTTTTGGGGGGGGTGGGGGTGGGCTTGTGAGGGCTCAAGAATCGAACCCGCCAGGTACTGAAGTTTCTCTGAGGAAGGAGCCCAGAGTCAGAGTGGGCCATGTATGGGAGGAGCAGCCGGGCAGATGGCCCGACTGTGGCTTTCTTCAGCAGGATGGCTCGGTCTTCATGGTGCGCGACGACTCGGATATGTTCCAAGCAGCGCAGATGTTTTGCAGGCGAATGATTCTCACGAACTGTACCTCCGCAAGCGAGATCGCGCAGCTCTGCCCGGGCACCTGCCCGTTCTTAGAGTTGAGCTCCTACTCTAGTTGGGATGGGTTCGGGAATCGGGTTCCTTGTGGCACCGCCTGCGTGCCACCGCAAGAATGCGGGGCTTATCGACCGGACCTGCCCTTCCCGAATCCAAAGACGCAGATGTGCGAGAGCTGCCCGTCGGATGGCTGCGAGGAGTGCGATTACGTTGAGGTGAAGACCGGTGGCCTCGATTCCGTGCAGTTGCGATGCACGCGGTGCGGAGAAGGCTTCGCTTTGACGAACGATGGGCTCTGTGAGTACTTGCTGGATAAGCTCCTCTTGAAGACCTACGCAATACTTGGCTTCGTACTCGTCTGCTTGCTGCTGGTTGCCGTGGTCCTCAGCATAACCTGCAACAAGAACTCGGAAGTGCTCCAACGAGGCCTAGAGCATCGGGAGCGCTGCTTGCCCCATGATGTAGAAACCCGCGCTGCGCAACCAGACAAGAAAGGTGGGACAGAAGAGATTTACTACGCACGTGCGCCTCTGTATCCCTTGAACGTCAATGTGCACTCGCGGAACATTGTTGGGGTCGGCTTGGCTCTTTACTACAACCACTTGGTTTTTGTGGCAGCCATCGCATTCATTGGCTGGGCGCTTCTTCGATTTTCCGAGGGTCTCTTTGGCATGCAGCACTGGGACACTCTGCAGTGCGGATACGGTGGAAGTGAACAATCGGAGTCTGCAGTTGCTGGCTACGCCAAGCGTCGAGCTTTGATCGCACTTTTCCTTTGGCTTGCCATCCTGCCAGCATCGATCATCTTCGCACGCTGGCAGGCTTCTGCAGCTCGGACCTACGACCGAGTCCACACGCGCATGGAGGATTACTGTTTCGGCTTGTCCAATCTACCACCCGAGGCTACAAACCCTGTGGATCTTCAAGCCTGGATCGAACAGAGGTTCGGACGTCCAATAGAAGGTGTCTCGATCTGCTACGACATCCGCGGGAAGCAAAACTGCCTAGGTTTCAACACCGGGGAGTTGAAAGAGCGCATACGGAAGAAGCTAGATGAGCATCTTGAGCGGCACGAGGAGATCTTTGTAGCGGCACTCGGCGTGCCAAGGAATCGGCGGAGGACGCTGCGGCATCGGATGCTCAGCAAGTTACCATCCGTCCAGGAGGGTGGGTCGATGAGTCTCTTCGATGGCGAAGTGAAGACCAAGGAATGGATATCAAGCTTCCAGTGCAGTGGCGAAGCTTTCGTGGTGATGAAGCAGGAAGCTGATGTGGAGCTCTTCTTCACACTCTGGGATCAGCCTCGTGGCTTACAACGCACCGGGTCCTTTTTCTCTTTCCACGACGGCAGCCCATCGCTCGAGAATGCCAAGAAGTCGCGGCGTCGAGATCGTTCCTACCTTGGCCAGGAGCTCGAGATTCGCGAGGTCACATCAGAGCCGACTTCCATTATTTGGGAGCACATGGGTACTTCCCATGGCCAGTTAGCTGCTCGCATTTGCTGTGCTTGCATCGGGTTCCTTTCCGCAATCGCCATTTTCTACTTCGTTCTGAGCCCGCCTCAGTTGCTGAGCCTCATGTGTATATTGTTTAACTAAGTGCCTGTTACGAAAGCGCACCTGTGCAGTCATGCTCAGGTACATTCCGCTTACGAGCTCCGTCGTGAGATATGCGAGAAAGTCTGGCAAGCCACCCTCGCCCTATCAGAAGCTTGGAGACATGCGTCTGTTGGTTTAAATCTGCAGAGAGAAGCCATCATGCACGGTGAGCTGCTAGATCTGATGTCCTCCGACTTTCAGCAAGAAGTCACCTTGAATCAGGACCGCGGGCCTGGGCATTGTGGTGGGTGTCGCTTGGCTGAGATGAGCTAGCAGCTCGGAAGGTCTTGCTCGCAACATACTCGTAGCATCCGATGATAAGTCGAATGTGTGTACATACATGCGGTGTATCTGCCTACAGGCATGAGCAGACCAACAAATCTACTCGTGCATCAATAGATCTTTCGTCTTTTACGACATACCTGCCATCTTGTGCAGATGTACAGTAGCAGAGTATATCATGTTCTTATAAGCTGCTATTGTTCTTTGTGTTATAATCATACTGTATATTGTACTGCATTATAGTATGTTATGGTAGAGCCTAGCGAAAGGTCGCCCGCTGATGGTGTCTCAACCCCAGGCCGGCAACAACTTGATTGCCAACCTGCTTTGGTTAGGCTCCTTATCCGGACCAGCAGACTGTCAAAACATTTTCGACTTCAACGTGACAGACGCTGAATCGTAGTGCGAGTGCGGCTGTTGGAAAGGTGTTCCTTGCCTGGGCTTCAAGAGGAAGGATCAGGCAGACATCGTCACCTTTGCCGCTCGGGCCCTGGTGCGTCTCCAGCACCCACTGCCTGTGATCAGAGTATCGTATATATATATATATATACTGTCTATATATATATATATGTATATATATATATATAATATTGTTTTATATTATATTATAATATATGTATATATATATATACACATACATTTTATGTATTGTGAAGCTCCAGAGGCCCGGACACTTCTGGTGCTGCTGAACACGTTCATCTCAGTGCTGCTGACTGCTCGGAAGCTCGCCGCCACTGGCCAGCCTGAGGCCGGCTTTCGTGGCTTGCGAATGCCTTTGGCTCTTGGATGTCTTTTCGCTTGCCAACTTAGCTTTCCTGAGTCTCCTAGACCTTAAACCCTAAACACAATCTGGCTGAGTCTTCTCAGTGCCTCCTTTCAGCTCTCGTTGAAGCCTCGACCTGTCGGCAGAAGAACATGTTCAGCACCGCGGGCAGCACTCTGGCACGATCTGCTGAGCTTTCTCGCGAAGCCTCGCTGGCAGATGCCGTCCGAAACCTACTCTACAAAAAGGATGTGTTCCATGTTCCTACCATTGCAGACCCATCCGAATGCCGAGGTGCTGAAGATGTTTCTGACTGGAACCTTCTCGTCGTGCATCTTCTCCTTCTGCTTCGTTCCCCTTACCCTTTGGCAGGCCGGTGGGTTCTGTCGTACACAACCGTACAGTGTGTGGAGTAACACCATGTAACACCAGTGTGCTTCTTTTCATAACTCAGCGCATAATTGTGATGTCGCTATGAACATATGGTAAGGCTGAATAACAATGGCCGGCAGACAGAAGCAGGGGCATGTCGTAGACACAAACAGGAGCTTTTCAGCGCATGTTGTTACCACTGTTGCAGCAAGATGGTAATGACAATAACTTTGAATATCTGCAGTGATAGCAGAGCAGTAGCACCACGTCTTGATCATAGCAGCAAAGACACTATTTAGCACAGTCGTGCTGGCATCTTCATGCCCTTGAAGAAGACGGCTAGCAAATCTAACATGTATAGTAATGTATGTCAATATTCCTACCAAACACCCGCAACATGCAGAGCAGAATCCGGCCAGCCCTGGATCCAGGGGATCTTCTTGATCCGCACGGGGCTCCAGGGCTCCAACCTCAAGGGCCGCGACTGCGAGCGAGCGCTTCAGCCAGACGAGAGCCTCGTCCTGTTTTACAGCGCACATGCTTCTACAGGTGCATGTGAGAACAAGGCTGGAGAACTATTCAAAGTTTTAGAACTGCAGATAAGCAGACGAAAACATGCCTTGATGTGAAAACAGAGTGTTTGTCTGTTTACGCGTAGGATGTGCGTGTACACACACACATATATATATACACACACCAATATATAAACATACACCTGCACACGTTTGCACATCGGTGTTCACGTGTCTGTGTGTGTGTGCGCACACATATGCCAGCGTCGTGAATTCCTTGCCATCCGGCATGATAGAAGAAAGGAGGAGGACGCCTAGTCTCTGCTTGATCCATCTTGATCCGTCCGCTTTAGCATGTCAAGTGTCAAGGATCTGGCTTCCATGGGATTACGCAACACGGCTGCAGAGCCTTTTGCCTACCCAAACCGGAAACCTAAACCCACCTGAACCCACCCTAAACCCTACGGCCCTACGACCCCTCATTCGACTGCCATGTGTGCTTTCGATGGCACAGGCGAGCCACATACAGCTGACTTGCTGCGCCTTCTTCCCACTGGTGCGAAGCTGAGGGCTAGGACCATGAGTAGCATACAGAGTTGTGTAGTGGTCTAACACCGGATCATGTAGACAAATTTAAATGCATACCAACAAGATGCATAACATAGATAAACAACCGAGTGAGTTTTTCAGCCCATCTCTATGTCTATAGTTGTTGTTGACTATCCAAGTTTGCTTGATACGAAGGGACATGTGTTTGCAAGAGACACGCATGCTATGCATGAGTCTAAGGGCACAGCGAATCACGCTTGACGTACAGGCAACTTACCCGAACATGCTTATGTGGATACAGACCCTAAATCCTAAACCCTAAACCCAAACCGTATACAGACAATTGCATGCTCACTTGCACGTCCCTCCCCGAGCCCGCTAAGCTCCGCTCAGGTCTTGGCCGAGCCTCCCGGCTCTTGCGCCTCCCGCGTCCTCTGCGCGGCGCTGGTGGTTTGGTGTGCCCTGGACTGCCACCGCTTACTATTCTTAGTTGTAGCAAACATAGTACTTGCTTACTTATGGTAGCTGTAGTACTCATGCACCACTTCGCTTGAAGAGGGATCGTGCTGCTTCTTCCCATGCCCAGAGATTGCAGCCATCTCTTGCCTCCTGCAGCGTGCTTGATCTCCTAGAGGAATTTCACGGCTTCAGATCGGCCCTACCCAGGAAGGCTTGGGATTCCTATGCCTCAAGATTCCCGTTTCAGACCCGCGTCGACAAGAGAGTAGACCCAGCCTCTTCTGCGATTGCAAAGACCGAGGTGTCGTGATGTACTGTGCGCAGCGCATCATCCACTTCAGGCCAAGGGTTTTTCGCGGACGCCTTCAGCCCTTAGCCAAACGATCTTAGCCCCTCTCCTGATATTATACAGTACAATACAATACAATACAATATATTATATTATATTATTATATTGGCAGGGCCTCCAAAGAGACCTTCTTCACAACTCCGCGCCTGGACAAGGCGGTCCTGGCAGGTGCTCGGAATGGTCATCTGTGTGTCTCTGCGTGTCCGTGGCTGCGCGTGGGTGTGTGGGTGTGGTGCATGGGATGTTCAGTGCCGGCGGTTCGGAGCAGCTTCGTTGTCCGGAGGTTGGGCCCTGCCTGTCAGCCAGCTTGCCGTCACATCTGCGGGCTGGGCATGCAGAGCTGCCAGATTTGAAACTTGCACGCAATGCTGCTCCAGGGCTTTCCTGCCGCTGGCTTCCCAAGCTGAGCTCCTTTGTTATGGGCCCCGCTCTCCAAGGAGCTTGTAGCTTCTGTGCCCATCTGCATCACCACCTTCCTGGCCAGCTGTGGGCTTTACTTGGTCCTCCTCTCGAAGGACAGCCCCAGTGCCTCCCTTCTTTCGTGTGAGTCTCGCTGTGAGTTGTAGGCCCTAGACCACCACCAGAGCATCCGGTATCTGTACGCCACAAAGAGCGAGTCCGCTGCTCAGTGCACTTCTACACTCTGAGAGCTCTGGCCCTGAAGCCCAAAGCCAAGTCAGCGTCGCAGTGAGAAACCCGAAGTGGCGAAAGCTCCAACACCACATCGCCTCAAGCCTGGTTGATCCAGCCAAAGCCCCCGGAGACCCGAGAGTTGCAAGGCCCATAGACCTTCAGAAGCCCCCTTGGCCCGTTGGCCCGAATCCCATGAGCTCGGAAGGTCCTACAAATCGGCCTCGGCCAGACTGCGCTACAGCGGCCCCCTCGGACTTCTGCCTTAGTCAAAACACGGCCATGGTTTGAGACTTGTAGGAGTTTTTGGGGTAGGGCTCTAACAGCACTTGAGTTCACAGAGTTTCAGAGAGTTATTCTGGGCTAATACGTGCGGAATCTCACCCAGCAGCCAAGTTACTTCAACCCCAATGACCCTAAACCCTAAACCCAGCAGCCAGGTTACTTCAACACCAATCCCATCCATGTGCTCATGGCGCAGCACCTGCCAGACATGGGCCTCAGCGAAGCCACCTGGTATGAGGCGCCAAAAGCCCCCCCTCGGAGCACCCCGAGCTCCCAGAGGAGGAATGGAATCTTAGTTTAATAGAGAAAGCGCAGACACACATCTACAACAGCATCTAGCTGCTTGTTGATGGTTTGTAACAGCTTGTACTTATTTGGTACATGTAAGCTTTACGCAGCTGCACGATTTCTTGTTCAGGATTCGAACATGTGTGTGTGTGTGTGCGCGTTTGTGTATACATATATATATATATACACATCATATATGTATAGATATAATATAGATATAGATATAGATATAGATATAGATATAGATATAGATAGGTAGATAGATACATAGATTGATAGGTAGATAGATAGATCTATAGATAGGTAGGTAGGTAGATAGATAGATAGATAGATAGATAGATAGACAGATATACAAATATACAGAGAAAACGCATAGATGTAGAGATATATACATATGCATACATACATATAAATAAATAAATA